TAGTTGACAGGGTAACACTTTATTCTGCTGTGCTCGTCTGGGCTGAAGTCATATGTATTGCACATTTACACAGTCGCATAAGTTGATTATCACACTGACAGATATCACTTTATTCTGCAGTGCTCGTGCGCTTGCTCTGTGCCCATGGTGCGCCGGTTGAGGCTAATGGTAATATGTATCGTTAGAATACTTAAAAACAAAACCCTAAACCCTAAGACAACTTTTCGACCGTTGTCTGCATCCAGATGGCTGGTCATGCGAATCCCTCCCCACTTATTCATCATCCCACGCATCCACATCGATATACTCAGTCTCATGAGCCACGTGCTCGTCTTTTGGTATCTGAGGGGCCCGAACATTGCTGGTGACATCGTACGCATCAACATCTATAACCTTTGCAGCGGAGGCCGTGCGGCCGTGCTGTGGGGTATTGTGCACCCATTCATCGCCAATGGCATCGACATCAATGCACACAACGGCTTCAGTTGCCTGGTGGTTCGTTGCTAGGTTACTCGTGCTGTGATGCGTTGCTAGGCTGCTCGTGCTGTGCATGCGTGGTGTGCTGCGCATTGGTTGCATGTGCTGTCTGCCTTCAGTCGTTTGGTTGCGGTGATCCCATTTCCAGTGCTTTTTGAATCGTCGATCGTTGACTGGGCTCTGATCGTCGTTGCTATGTTTTTTCTTTTTCCTTAAGGTCTGATTGTCAGCTTTGTGTGTTGTTGTGTGTGGGTGGTGGTGCTCGTGTTTGCGTTTCCGATTATGTTTATGGACGTGCGATGTGTGGGTATCCGACCTCGTGAGTCCGATTCTTCTGGTGGAATTGGACGAAAAGGCCCTTATTTGAGTAGAATTGGACGAAAAAGCCCTTTTTTGAGGAGAATTGGACACAAAGGTCCTGTTTTGTTCTCCAGCCGCTGCAGTAGCCTTTGTAAACCATATTTTTGTGCCAGCCATATGTGCCTGACGGTGTGTATACGAGAAGTGCGTAGTCAATGAACATAACATTGAGGTTTTAATATATATATTATGTTAGCATATACAACATGCAAACGAACCCACCTACATACAGTACAGGCATGAAATGCATGGTAAATGCATGGCAAATGTGTGGCAAATGCGAGCGCCACACATATCCGTATTTGCGCTGTGGGCCATACACACAAACCCAGTCCAATAATATCTAGCATACGAGGGACATGCAGGCGCAAGAGGCAATCGCACTATAGCACTCACTTGTATATTGGTTGGAGTGTGATACAAAAACGTTTCAGCGCCAACTAACCGAACCAATTGGTGCAGAGCATACCTGATACTGCAACGGGCCATGACGAGCGTTTTCGAGTAGAAGAGACCAACGTCGTAGCTGTGGGCGATAGTGTGGTCTGGTTGTGCACTCTTGCGGAGCCGACACTCTCAATTTAGACCCGACACTGCAATTGACCTACACAAGAAACAAAACACCGAACACAAAACACAAAACACAAATCATAAAACATACTCAGAGGTCAACAACGGAGATACAACCGGTGCAGTGGCAAATGGGTGAAACGGCGTCTTTTGTTCTGTAAGCGTTCGTAGCAACGCAGCACATGGGATAGTATTCACACAGGATGTAGAAGACCTTACTGCCATTCTTTCGTTTACAGAGAAACCTTCGATCGGAAAGACGAATGTCCCAAAAACAACCAGTCACCCGCTGGCAGGTCAGAGGTATGGACTGGATTCTTTTGTCCACCCCGACAGAACTGGTCCCAATGCTAAAACTATAAGACCCTAATGGCAGGCACAGTCGCACATCGCGACCCGGTGATGCGGTAGTGAGTATGATACACTGGTGAGCCACTGTATCATATCTCATATTCAATGAAACGATATGCATATCTGTCACAGCTTAGTCACAGACCCTGTGTCAATTCAGGTACGGTTGTCAAACGCCTACACCACCATCGACTAGACAACTACAGTCAAAGAAAACAACTCAACAAGTACAACAACCACAGACAGCAAAAGACTCAGCCCCTCGATAGTCCAGTTCGCCCTCCCCTGAAAAGCAGGGTCACGGGAACTGCCAACACCTGCCGGTAGCCACAAGTCCACCCCAGACATCAGGCATTGTATATAGCAATAGCGTGTAAACAAATAAATATACCTAAACCCTAAACCCTACATCCTAAATCGGCAACACCCCTTTGTAGTACGTAGTGAACTGCAGAAATCGTTCCAGTGAAGATACAACCACATACCACATAAAAAACACACAGACTTAGCATTCGTACTCTCACGGGTGCAGTGTCATATTCAATCTCATAGTCCTGCCTTCCAACGCAAGCGCCTTGTGACATACGTTCGCGGACACAGTCCTTTTCTTCGACATCTTCCGTCTACGCCTGTTGGGCTCACGCATCTCTGCTGCAGTAGGTAAAACGTCTGCTGCAGTAGGTATAACGTCTGCTACAGTAGGTATAACGTCTTCTACAGTAGGTATAACGTCTGCTGCAGTAGGTATAACATCTGCTACAGTAGGTATAACGTCTGCTACAGTAGGTATAACGTCTTCTACAGTAGGTATAACGTCTGCTGCAGTAGGTATAACGTCTGCTACAGTAGGTATAAAGTCTTCTACAGTAGGTATAACGTCTGCTGCAGTAGGTATAACGTCTGCTACAGTAGGTATAGCGTCTGCTGCAGTAGGTATAACCTCTGCTGCAGTAGGTAAAACGTCTGCTACAGTGGTTGTGGTTGAGCTGAGTGTTTGGGCATATATCTCTGTGACACTGTTGCCCATGGCTTCGTACAGACTCGCATTCTTGAGCGCTCCATGGCGCAGTAGGGAGTGGTAGTGCGGTTTTCCCGCGTTGGTGAAATTCAGTGTCCTCAAGACAGACGTGTCTGGCAACGTTTTGGAACGCATATAAATCTGCAAAAGTTTTGGTGGGTACCCAAACAAAACGAACACCAAGATTAGTGGCAGCTGCTATTACGGCTGTTGACTGGAATGAATATTGGGGTTGCATGACTCAATTATCAACTTCATACGTTAGCCCGGCGTTTGTAATCTGCAGCCCAATACACATACGTGCACATCGACAATTCAGTCAATATTGGGAATAGTAGAAGCAGTCATTTCAGAAACAAACGTTTAATGGCAGCTGTGCTCTATGCGTTCAATACGAGCTCATTTTGAATGATTTGAATTGTACTTGTGAACTCGTTCAACGTATTTCACGTGGATATTCGATGATGCTGAGATATGAGTGAAACAATGATTGAAGGCGTTCCGATATCGCACTACAGCGCTCTAGTGTAATGCGTTAACGCAATTGACCCTAAAACTGCCGCAGCTTAACGGCGTCCCATTCACAGAATCTACGTATGTTTTTACACAACACCACTTCTTGTCGTTGACATTCTAAACATACAACACCACTTCCTGTCATTGACATACTAAACATACAACACCACTTCTTGTCGTTGACATTCTAAACATACAGCACCACTTCTTGTCGTTGAAAAACCCTGAACCCTAAAACAACACCACTTCTTGTCGTTGACATACTTTGCGTTTCTTCGATCGTTCGGAACAGTCGCTACTGCTCGCAAATGCGCAATGCGGCGGATTCAGAGAAATGACAATGCGCATCCCCTCCGTATGAATCTGTGGGGAGTCAATAGGACACTCACACTAAGCACAACGCACTCATGAGACTAACCAGACAGCTCAAGTATAACAAACCATATGAACCTGTGGGGAGTCAATGGGACACTCACACTAAGCACAACGCACTCATGAGACTAACCAGACAGCTCAAGTAAAACAAACCGCCACAGATACATTGAGAGATGATATGTACATCAAATCAACCAACGTAGTCACATCCCAACCAAAACTTTAAACCCTAAACAGGATATCACTGATAAACCGAATACGCTCTTCGTAATAAAATCAATCAATTACGACATCTCTCAAGGCCCAGAACAAATTGACTTGTAAGCTGAGTGTTCTCTATAGAGATATATATTGGGTTATATTCTCTATAGAGATATATATATTGAAATATATTTTCTATAAAATTATATATTGGGTTATATTCTCTATAGAGATATACAATGGGTTACATTGGGTTATATTCTCTATAGAGATATATATTAAGACAGGATGAACATAAACAGCTACATCAGTCTGTGGGCTATATACACAGACATTCACTTATTCCGTCTACTCGTTCTTCTGCCCGTGTGGTTGCATTGATAATACTACATGCGACTGTGTTGACATGTCTTCCGCACTCGTGCGTGACTCACCGTTTGCGTAGTCATGGTTGATGAGTCGTCAGGTGTTTGTGTTTGGTCGTTGTCGCTGGTGCTGGTTGTGCTCGATAGAGACAGTCCATCATCATCACTATCCCATAGGGGACACTTGCGCTACAGATGATATGCATCACAAACAACAGTGTAAGAAGCACCTCAGCCATGACGAATACAAACAAATCACACAACAGTCATTGTGGCGTAAAGGGTTGGCAGAAGCACCTTAGTCGTGAAGTGAAGAAAACTACGCTCCACATGATATGTAGAAAACTATACACAGCACTCTACGAGCAATTATCACAATCACAGTGGCGGCATACCCATACACGCACAATGCCATCATACCCACACACTCACAGTGGCATCATACCCACACACTCACAGTGGCGTCATACCCACACACTCACAATGGCATCATACCCACACACTCACAGTGGCATCATACCCACACACTCACAGTGGCGTCATATTCACACACTCACAGTGACATCATACCCACAAACTCACAGTGGCGTCATACCCAGACACTCACAGTGGCATCGTACCCACACACTCACAGTGGCGTCATACCCACACACTCACAGTGGCGTCGTACTCATACACTCACAGTGGCATCATACCCACACACTCACAGTGGCATCATACCCACACACTCACAGTGAAATCTTACCCACACAATCACAGTAGCGTCATATTCACGCACTCACAGTGACATCATACCCACACACTCACAGTGGCGTCATACCCACACACTCACAGTGGCATCGTACCCACACACTCACAGTGGCGTCATACCCACACACTCACAGTGGCGTCGTACTCATACACTCACAGTGGCATCATACCCACACACTCACAGTGGCATCATACCCACACACTCACAGTGGCATCATACCCACACACTCACAGTGAAATCTTACCCACACATTCACAGCGGCGTCATACCCACACAATCACAGTAGCGTCATATTCACACACTCACAGTGACATCATACCCACACACTCACGGTGGCATCATACCCACACACTCACAGTGGCGTCATATCCACACACTCACAGTGGCGTCATACCCACACACTCACCACACTCACAGTGGCATCATACCCATACACTCACAGTGGCGTCATACCCAGTTTTTGGCCACGTGCTCCGTTCGTTTGCACGCACTGCACACTCTCACACGCGACGGTCCACCAGACCTCACCCTCTGCGCTGCCGTTGTTCTGTGTAATGGCCAATTGACACACCGATTGTCATTGGCGAACGCATAAGTCAAACTATATGTTAGAACGCTCAATTAATCCGACACAGCGTGTATACCCTAAAACCTAGTCCCTTATACCTCTTATAACTCGCTCCAATAAATGGTCACTTGTCTATTCACATCAGCTAGTACTTAAATAAGCAAGACATACATAACTAACCAAAAATACCACAACTAAAAGAATCACTATCCATTTAGCAGAGACATACATAACAAACCACAAACACCACAACTAAAAGGATCAATATCCAATATATAACAAACCACAAATACCACAACTATAACAAACCACAAACACTGCAACTATAACAAGCCACAAACACCACAAGTAAAAGAATCACTATCCATCTAGCAGAGACATACATAATAAACCACAAACACCACAACTAAAAGAATCACTATCCATTCAGCAGAGACATACATAACAAACCACAACCATCACAACTAAAAGAATCACTATCCATTTAGCAGACACATACATAGAAAACCACAAACACCACAACTAAAAGAATGACTATCCACTTAGCACAGACAAACATAACAAACTACAAACACCACAACTGAAAGAATCACTATTCATTTAGCACAGACATACATAACAAACTACAAACACCACAACTGAAAGAATCACTACCCATTTAGCACAGACATACATAACAAACTACAAACACCACAACTGAAAGAATCACTACCCATTTAGCACAGACATACATAACAAACTACAAACACCACAACTGAAAGAATCACTATCCATTTAGCAGAGACATACATAGCAAACCACAAACACCACAACTAAAAGAATCAATATCCAATAAATAACATACCACAAATACCACAACTATTTCAAACCACAAACACCACAACTTGGAGGATACAGAGGAGTCAGTGTTTGAGTATGAAAGACCTGAGTTCACGTGAGCATCGTTTACACTTACAGCTGATGGCTGGCTGCTTTTGTGTGGGTCTGATCTGCAATGTATCTGTCGATGATCAATGGATCGTCCACATGCTCAGTGTACACAGACTCCTGGCCAAGCGCATCAACATACACACGCTTGATCTACAGAACAAGACGGAGAAGGAATTATGGCGTCATGAGAAGTGGTTTGAGTGGTTGTGACTAGTGGTTTTTTATAGGGTTT